CTACATCCTGGTTAGTCTTGCTGGATATTTTCTCGATATGTCAATCTTCATAGACAGAAGAAGGAGTGTATCGGATGATTGAAGTCCCAGGAAGAATTAAGGCAAAACATGATCATGCCTTGTTAACTTACTTCTGTGTCAGGGGTGATTATGTCATGCTGTCATATGCTTGGCCCGAGGCTTCGCCGGTCAGGCTGCTTACCGCCCGCCACGCCACGATGATACATAGTCCCGTCCGTAGAGAGCCTTAGCTAGCGAAATCGATCATTCATCCACATCCCTCACTTTTTGATAGATGATTTAGGTCTGAACTTCGTCTATACCTCGTGTTTGGCACCCCACATGTTCTGCGCCTCCTTAGGTTTATTATCCCAAAGTGTCAGGTATAGATGACTGGGGTGTAATTAGCAATGGATGCATCCAGAGATACTGGTTCCAAAGTTATACTTTTGAAACACGAGTCAATTGAGGTCGGGGCCCGTGCCCTTACACCTAATGGATTGGAGGTAAGTTCTCTCCATGTTCCCCTTGGTAGGGATCCGCGGAACGCAGGTGTTCCGCCAAACAAGCTACACGTACAGCACTTATAATCTCGGTAAAACGGGTATTTATAGCTATGTAAGTCACTGAGCAGAAGTGACAGGCATGAAATCAGCGAACTCGGCTGGGAACTCGAAGTCCAAGGGAATTGTGATCGACGGGTCTATAAAGGCAGGGTAACACTCCCTCTCGTTGGGGGTCAATGTTTCAGACAAATCGGACGGAAAAGAATTGGTCATTTTGTCGGCCCAAACGACTGTTCCAGGATGATGAGCGGTGGAGACAGGGTCGCCCGCATGAAAGGTTTGATTGTGAAGCTGCAAAGGTCGCACCTGGGTTAGCGTAGAGGTGTCCCTGTCTTCAGCGACATTGCCCCTGCGGCTCTCCATGTCAGAGAAGAGCGACTGCGAGAGGGCAATGAATTCCTCAAAGAGACGTTGTATGACCGTGACGGGATGACTACTCGAGATACTGGGCAAAAGAACCCTCGCCACAGTCTTGAGAAGGTTTAAATCTCCCAGATTTGACGTCGTCACGGCGTTGCAGAACAAGACGAAACACGCGGTCAAGGGGTAAAAAGTCAATGTCCTGTTTGAGAAGAGCGAATGGTCAGCGCTGCGGGCAATATGGCACAGAACGATAAGAGGGGGGAGTCCAAATGACTAACCAATGGAGGAAGCCAATGGCACGGTCTTTCTCGTTGATTAGACATATAGACAACAGTGACGATAGCTCTTGACGAGCAGATTGGAGAAGCAAATCTCCCGACCCAAAGGCCCGCCCTTGAAATTGATCAGAGAGATAAAGAATCGTGGTTCGGATGGAATGGTGCGCGAAGCGAATGGCAGCAATCTCGTTCTCAGCATCAAGGCCCATCCAGCATTGTGCCGAAGACGCAGATATCTTGTGTTGTAGTCAGCGTCAGAACACATGCTTATGCGTCGGGAATATAAAGCTGTTGAGGTAACATCGTACCTGCTCAATTTGTTGCTCAATCTCATCCACCCGCTGTAATAGCGATTCGACGGAACAGCGCGGGGGAAGTTGCACTGAATGAGAGGCGCTGGACAGGATGTTCTTGAGTAATGATAATGTGTCATCCTGTACTCGGGCCATGGCAATATAGATTGCGAGAAGATCGGCGGTTGTGTCGTGAACATAATCGTCAAGCATCCCGGGCTCGATCTCGAAGAACGTTCGCGAAGGTTCGAATTTCCACGCGTAATTCTTATCTAGCATATAACACCAAAGAGCGCAAAAGACTTCCTCCTCTGTCCTGGGTTTCCGCTCTGAGTCAGGACTCGCCTTATCGAGTCCTAGGTCAGTGGCTATCCGACAAGCAGTCCGAGTCAGTTCGTAGCAAAAGTGGGTGTTGCCAGAGCCTTGATGGAGGAAAACCTATTGCATCTCCGTTAGAAATCGACAAAAGCACGTTGTATCACAGTGTGAGGTAGAAAATTATACCCACCCCGCAAAGAAGGGCCTGAAGAAGTGAGAAGGAAGGAGTGATTGTGAGTCGAATGCGCTCTAACGCTGCCTGTGCGGCGCGTTTATATTCGACAGACCGAAGTCGCAGATGGTCGATGAGCCCGTCATCGTGCTCCCCAATCATGAGAACGGTCATTAAAAACTTGTGAGCGGCGGCGTTGACGCAGACGCTGAAGATGTCTCTCTCGTCATTCGAGACATCGTCGGACAACAGCCTCAAACACATACCCTTTAGGGTGGCCTTAGAAACGTGTTTGAAATAATCTGACACGTATATTCCAAACTTGGTACTGCCGATGTCTTGCTCAACCAAGCAGAACCGTATTAGCCCCGGCGCGCATAGCCGTTTCTTTTCATCCTGGTATTAAGGACGCTTCTTACCTTGTAGTATCCAAGTCAGAAACTCAAGAGGCACGCCTCGTTCATCCTGGAGGGGTGGTCTTAGCCCTTGCGGGGCGTGAGTTGCACGAACCAGAGCTGAGCGTAACACTTCCTGCGCTTTGCAGACCAAGCCGTGCTCGAAGTGGCCCATATGGCCTGGAATCTTAAAGCGAGTCTCGATGGATCGATTTAGTGGCACCCACGCAGCCAAGTCACAACCAGCTGGTATTGGCTGATCACTACCTGTAAGCTTTGCTTCTAACCTGGGTACAGGTGTGTTGCTTGTTTCAATTCTCCCAGTTGAGGTCTTTGGTGCTTGCTGTAAGCCAGACCCTTCAATGGACATGTCAGTCTCAATCAACGCGACCTGCTCAAGTCGACTAGGGGCGACTGCCTGAACGGTGGTTGTTGCTAAAGTCGTCGTCTGAACTTTAGGATTTAGAATTCTTTTCGGCAGACGTCGCCGGATCCGCTGTCTTTGACAGGAAAGACCTTGATCAAGGCAATTGCTACATGGTAATCCTCGATTGCACCGGACCTGGACAGGAGATCAATGTGAATTTCGTCCCTCTAAACTGCCAAAAAAAAGTTTTGAGATTTCAAACTCATTATGAGGGATGATAATTTACCTTCCGCGCATGACAAGAATCGCACTGTGTAGATGTCAGCCCAATTACCTTGGTGGGGAAGACCGGCAGGTGGAATTACATACAGCTGGAAAGGGGTAGATCTGTTGATGATTGTAGTCTGTGGCCTGCATGGTCTATCATTGTTCTAGAGCATCAGATTCCAGGCTCCTGTGATTATTGCTATCTTATACAATAATCTCAAGTCGCGAATACCGAAGCGAGAGATGTAAGGCGCAGCAAAAGCTCTGCAGGCTATTTTGACTGCTATTTTGACTGTGGCGAAGACTTGACTTAGTTATGCTTGGCGATTAGTAATATTTCACCCGGCATTGCTATGCACTCTCAGGAAAATGGACAAAAAAACCATGTTACCACCAAACCTTAAGGCTTGAAGCCCCACAAAATTGCACGGTAGCGGAACAGTACACACGCCAATTGGCCTGGTTTCGTCCGCCATGAGACAATCGCACCTTGCTTCGAAAGAAGATTGTTACAAAATCCCCCTCCCCGACGGGTGAAAGGGCTGGAAAATGTAGCAATAATACCGGGGTAAAGGGGAGGTTGACAGACAATTGGTTTAGTCCTGCTCGGGAACGTGTACAGTGCCTTGTAGTTCACTGAACGCCAAGCGCCAACGCCACCTTCAACCTCGAACTACTAGGTAACATGAAGAGCACAGGGCCATCATCCAAGGTTTAACAATGAGAATATTCAACGTCACTTGGCTCGCAGTGACGCCAGAAGCCAGGTCAACTATTCGCGCTGGCTTTGAATGGTACAGTAAGTACAGCATCAAGTAAAAGTGAATGTTGTATCTAGCCACCCTCGTCGGGGCCCGCGGGGCCGAGCTGAGCCTCACTTATCAGAATCGGTACATATACAGTTGCAGGGCAAGGTTTAGCCTGTTGTGAGGCGCGATTGTGTTTATGGAAGTGATTACATCTTGGGTGCCATGGTTCAGAATAGGCTTGGCATTCGGTCTAGGTACGCCGGTGATACACTCCGAACTCCCTTCGTCTCATTCTTTCTTTCCTGCGTAGATCAAATGATGAGTCGGCAGCCACTTGAAAAGATTATTCCAGGAACCGTGACGTCCCGTTGAGTAGTAAGTATGAGAGTCTCACTGCAGCTCAGCAAGGTCATACTCGCCCATCAAATTTCAACTTCAGTAATCGCCTATTGAGGCCACAAACATCGGAATTGAAACCCTCTCAGTAAATACCCCTTTTCCCAGAAATTTACAGGATCGCGACCGAACAGGATACATCCATGATCTGGGCAGGAAGCGAAGGTTTCTGTTGAGGTGATTGGGTAGGGATGCCCCATACTTATTCCGAACCAATGGGAGTTCCCGGTTACGCTTAGCCCACCGTGCGCGCGCCCCGCTCTTATGCCGAACCCCCGGCTTGGAAACCCCCCTCCCCCCCCCCCCCGAGCCGGGACTGACTCGGGATTGTATGTTAATCTTGTCCCATCCTGCAACTCTCAGCCAGACAAGGTTCATCTTACTGAAAACAGATACATGAAACCTGAGACCCCAAATAGAAAGAAATCTTCATCTGGAGACTATGCCAGTAGCCCCGAACAAAAATAGCCGCAGTATTGCGCTCCAAACCATGACAAAGGCCAAGACAATGCGCCCGCGAAAGCCTGCGGTCATATTCATTGTCAAAATATCTCTTGCACCGTCGAATAAATCTCCGATGATCCTTGGTCAGGGACTTGAGACCTCGACGACAATCGGCCTCGACCTCATCTTGTTGAATGTTCTGACCTTCCATGTCTTTTATGATGAGTTACTTTGTTCCTACCTCGCGTATGGACTTGCAAATTGAACTATACAAACATGAGCCGAGATATACAAGCAACGATTGCGTTACGGGGCACGTGATCCTCAATCTAGACTCCCCAGTCGACATATCGCAGATCACCGTTACCCTGCTGGGACGGTCTATTTCAAAGATGGAACGCTCAAGCCACATAGAATGCCATCAGGTATCTTTTTTAGACTACCTGTGGCGCCCAGTGAAATGCAGGCTAACCTGATCCAAGCTTATTCAGGAATCACTGCAGATATTCCCCCCATGCGGGCAGCTGGATCAGAATACCTCGAGATTCCGGACCTTAGGCCCTAAGCAGTACACATTTCCATTCTCCCTAGCGGTACGTACCCTACCCTTTAGATGACCAGCGTAATACTGTTAGTGACCAAACTTCCCTCTGCCAGTTTCCTACGGTATCAGGATGCTACAAAGCACACTCGACCAAGTGCCTGGAGAAACAGTCCCAGTCCCAAACCGAGCCTGCGCCACCCGTCCGAGAGCAGGAGATGCCCCATTTGCTCCGACGGCTTCCTCCCTCCACGGGCAATCGTTCCGGCCCGGCCGAGATTGCATATGCCGTCGAAGCCAATGTTAATATTGGCGGATTCCTGAAGCAGTCCATCAAGCAGGTTGTGTGACATGCACACTTTCAAACATGCCCTTCTTGCTGACCCAACAAAGCAGTCCCGCAGAATATTCTTCTGCCCCACATCCAGCCTCCCGCCACCCCGGCAGTCTCTCTCGCGGCACCGCGCCGTCATGATCCGGTGCCATCAAAGCACCAACGAAACCACCGCACAAGAGGTCACGGCGGCGATAGCCAGAACGTACCACGTCAGCATCGAACTCATGTGCGGCGCCTATCTCCACCTCGGTCAGCGACTACCCATCAGAGTGCAAGTCACCAAGGTCAATTCCGCCGATCACGACCTCATCTTGAACGATTTCCAGGCGATGGTCGTCGAAGAAACGGAGGTGCGGGCCGCGGGCCAGGTCCGGGTCCAGCGTCTCTCGCGTATCCTGCGCACCGTGAGCAATCTGCGCATGTTTGTCTGTCTTGCCGAAACGCCCGTCGGAACGACGATAAACATACCGGATGATTTCTGGGGCGGGCAACTCCTCCCGACGGTGATCACGCCAACGTTCGAGACGTGTAATGTGCGGCGCAGCTATAAGCTTGAGGTGCGGCTGGGGTTCAACAGCCGGCCGTCGAAGGTATGCGATCATCACGAAAATTCTTCCCCTGCAGAAGGGTACCCCGCACGAAAACACCGGAGTCCGTTCTCTGACTGCTTGATTTTTACGCAGGTCCAGACGAGAATCCTCGAAGTTCATTTCCCGGTTCATATCGTGGCGACAGAACCTGCGCCCATTCCAAGCTCGATTCTGCGGTTCTCCGAAAAGCAGCAGGACAACGCGGAGGATACCATTCCATGGCAAGGTATGACCCAATGATCTATTTATAGAGATTAGTATATTTATGACTGGAACACGCATTGCTGAAAGGAAGCGGCCTTCCAAGTATAACACAACTTCCGTGACGATTTCTAGGGAATCCCTATCTGGATAGTAGAATGGTTGCCTACATGTTGTGATTGCGCAAGGTAGCTTATGTAGTGTATTTGATGTGTCGTTGGGTAGGCTCTTGGTAGCAACTTGGTTTTGCTGGTGTTGGAACAATTGGCTACGCTACCAAGAACCAGCAATCCAATGTAGTTAGACGCTGTGTTTTTGTATCTGGAAGGATTTTTACGGCTATGGACCATCAGCGCCCCACAATCGAAGGCATTCGGACATTGCAACTTGCGGGTTTCTATGAATTTAACATACACCACCCCCCTTTTGCGTCTCCCTGTCCGCAACCAAACCCTAACACAGAATAGCCATCACCACAATACCCACTAATCCCACCGCAGACTTTGTGGTAATGGTGACAGCACGCGCCCCTCCCGTTGCCGACGCCGTCGCAGCAGTCCCTGACTTTGTGGTCGAGAATTTCGTGTCCTCAGTGGTCTTGGATGTCGAAGTCGATATTGCTTTTGTTGGCGTGGGGAAGGAAGTGGCAGTGGCCGTAGAATTGACATCGCCAGTGCACCAGACATCCGCCCAGGCGACTCCGCCCTTGTACAGACAATCAGTCAGATCCTGCACGGATTGTTCCACGGCAAGAGCGTATAGCGCGCAGTCGTTGTTGTAGGGCCGCACCCCAGCCGGCAGCGCGCACGAGTCGAAGATGGTCGAGTAGTTGGCTTGGTTGGGCACACCGCAGGCGGCATCGTGGACCGGGAGTTCGTATTGATAGGAGGTTCCGCAAGCTGTGGAGGTGGCGGCCGCGCCGGTTGCTGTGGCGGTGACCATGGTTGGCGTGATATGTGGTTTGACGGGAAGAGGTATAGATATCAAGATGCAAAATATTAGAGGACGGAAACTACCAGATACATATCAGAAAAACCAAAACCATTTTGTGGATGAACCTTAGCCTTGAAGGTATATATTGGGTCTGTCTTCTTTGCCAAGATGTCTTCGGGGCTATATCACGGGCGCGTCAGCCGGGCTTTCGGCCGCCTATTTTTAGTCGGGATAAGGCCTCTAGAGGTACGACATTCCTATACCCGCTGTAAAATAGAGTGTGAGCTGCACAGCCCTGTCACCGATATAGGGGGCCACTACCATGTAGCACCCCGCTAACATGCGATGACGGGGCCCTCGGATTCCGGTTATGGATGGACTGAAGACTTCCCACACGAATGTAACGGGGAAATCAGATCAGCTCAATTCTTATCTGCTAAGCATGAATTGATGACCTTGATGACTCTAGGAATTATCTCCCTTGATCCTACCCTCTTCCCCTGCTTATTATCTATATGCAACAATTTCCACTCCTTCAAATTGTCTATGATTTCCATTTACGATATCGTCTTAATGCCTTTCCCTTAGCATTGACTTTACAGTTCCTTGCTGATGTGTATTCATCTTGTTTTCCCCATCACCTATCTCTTACACATTGTAATGGATATTGAAGAAAGGACACACTCGTGAAATTCAAGTCTCTCCCACCATAGCTTGGAAGGCAGAAGAAGCGATGCAAGGAGAGGTATTCCACATGCTTGTAACTCTATACGCATAAGATCTAACACCAGCACTGATAATCAGGGCACGGATGGATAACGGAACGGCAAATTCATCCCAATGCCAATAGTCGTATCACACAACCCAGAAAGACAGGGCATCTTTCCATCTCCGAGTTTCACCCATAGGTTGTTCAGCGAGAGAACTGCTGCAAATGATCCTCCGTTGGTGCGGTCGGCAAGCGAAGTACCTCTGTATCTTCCTCGGCAGGACGGCGAGACAAGATAAAGGATCGCGAGATCAGGAGTCGGTCGTGGGTATGGCGCTGTCTGCTGCCGTATCTCGGAGGGCTGTAGGGATAGCCTTCAAAACAGCGATTCTTGGGCTCGAGATGTTGAACAAAGACCGGTCGCATTGGCGGGATGCAACCGCAGACGATGATCACAAATAGCTCGGACGCAGACCAGATACTCGAGTCGAGAGAGGACCCTATTCCAATGCAGACCGCCAGTCAGCGCTTCTCTCGCCGTGCAAGTTATACTAAAGTCAGACGAGGGGTCTAAAGTTCATACAGGTTAGATCTTTACGGGAGTGTAATCTGACGACGTAGGTGATCTTGACTATGCCACACGCAGCGGCACTGTTGATGAAGACACTCAACCACCCAGTGGAAAGAGAAAAGGAGATGAAAAGAAAGACCTTGACGATCATTTCGGTCTTTCTCTGCCAGTGGACACTCACAGTGGCCCAAGTCCCAACAGCGCACACGCGGCCACCCGCTGCTTCACGGACAGGCTGGTGTGCCAGATAACAGGAACAGGTATGGCGGCGAGGACTAAATCGATGAAGATATTCCACACTGCACTTCCGAAATTCAGCGAGATACGATCCTTCAGCTCGACTGTATACATCATGTATCCAATTGGACGAACCTGAAAAGAACAGCGAGAAACCGGTTTGCACACTGGTGTCCCAACATTTGTGCGGAACCCACGGTTCCCACATAGCACGTGGTGGAGTGCACTGCACGAAGCCGAAAATATAATCAATTCCACAGATGGTACATGTTAGGCATATGATAAACCAGAGTAGCCACCTCGTTTGACGACTATTTGAGCCAAGGATGCGCCGGATCTGCAGCGCGACCGACGTCTTGCTGGTCGCAAACCCCAGAACCCCGAATGTTTGAGCAATCCACTCATACTTGACCACATGGAGTTGTTGCGCCGTAGTCAAGTAGTACATATGGTGGGCAGCCCCGATGACAGCCAAGTATTGGGCAAAGGCGACCATGATGATGAATAAAATCTCGGAATATAGTGAGCGATGGCAATGGTGGTAAATGTGAATCCATGTAGTTAACCTACTACTGTGAATGTCATCATGTGATCATCAGCGCCAAAACCCTTGACCAAGCGTCGGCCATAAAGTCGAAGCGCAAGGGCTGCAAGTGCCACGGCAGCTTCAGTCCAAAGGACCGCCATGATAGCCGGACCTCGATCTCGGTCACCGCTAGCGGGCGGTTCGGCGGTGGCCATGCCGATGCAGTACTGCTACTGAAAGACCATGAAGATTCAGAAATATTAAGAGTGAGATTCAGCAGGAAGGGGGTGGGAAGAGTCATATAGTGGACAGAACCGAGTCCATGTAGTATAGCGCATGTCAGATTTTAGCTTCGGTTCCTTGCTAGACACCCACCCTCAAGCAACCTCTAAAACACGATATTCATAGTACCTCCCACTTCATAACTTGGAAGTCAGTTTGCAGATCAGACAGAATTGTGTCAGTCTTTCTTATGTCTTGTTCATCCCAGATTCACTGGGTCTTCATTGGTTGTCAAAGAGGGATTTTCAAAGACATTGAAAATATGGTTAGGGTACATGTCACTACTGTATATTTCGAAAGCTGGCATGGAGTAGATATAAATTTCATGAGTTCAGTTTCGAAAAGATCCTTCTCCCCAATGCACTGGCCCAACCAGTCCAGAAAGGGATGCCAGTATCCCAAATCATGGTAATCCGACAGGTTGGCTAGGCAAGGGGGTTGGCCAGTTGTCGGTCGACTTACCCCTCGCGGATCGTCATCTCCTGCATTGTTGGTGGCTGTGCCCTCTTGGCATACAGGACGATGTTCAATGACTCAAGCAACTCAGGGACAAGCTGTTCGGGGCACATTGACATCAGAAAATTACCAAAAGACTAGTTGACCTGCCAGCCACGACGGGCTTGCCCAAATCTTGCTCTTTGCAGTATTTGGCATGCACGAGCCGTTCCGCGAAGGTTAGGTTCACAAAGGTGCAAGTAGCAATTTATGCCTGAACTAGATTGCATCACAATTTAACGAGGTATAACTACAGGGAACCGGCATCGGAGCGACTGCATGGGTAGTGATGCAAGCTGATCCCAATATCCACGCCCTGTTGGGGCCTCTGAGCATCAATTCTGCTATAAATTGTCCTATCTACCACAGAAGAATCGGCTTGATTGTCCTTCCACTCTTCATATTCCGGACCGCCTCCTCGAAGTTCTCTGCTGGATAAAATCCAACGATCTTGTGCATGGGTAACAGACCCGACCTCACCCACTCGATCATCCTCGGAACGAACTCCCGGTGCACCACATCCCCCTCCACGACACCCATGAACACCTTTCCTGCCACCATAAACTCATGGATGGGGAGATTGAGCGTCGCTGTCTGGGGTGCCGCCCCCAGCTGCACGATCTTGCCCTTGTTAGCGGTCATGCGAACCGCCTCGGCCACGAGCTCAGGCACCCCGGTAGATTCCAGTGTGACATCGACTCCAGTGCCACCGGTGATCGCACGAACCGCCTGGGTGACGAGGCTGAGATCCGCATCGGGGTCGATCCGAACCACATGCGTTGCTCCCAGCTCTAGGGCCAGCTTAAGGCGGGCCTCGTTGCGTGCGATCCCGATGATCGTCTGACATCCCGCGATGCGCGCGCCCATCACGGCGCTCAAGCCCACCCCTCCCAGCCCAAGCACCGCTATCGTATCCTCTCGCCGTGCGCCCGCCGCATTGAGAACCGCTCCTGCTCCCGTCTGGATCCCGCAGCCCAATGGGGCCAGCAGCTGCAGTTCTTCCTTCTTCTCGACCATGCCCGCCACATTGATTACCGCGGACTCCTGCACGATCGTCCAGCTGGCAAAACTCGATTGTCCGAAGAACCGGCCGAAGATTTCTGGTTCGCTGGTGTGTGGTGTTGCTGCTCCTTCCTCCCAGAAGACGTGATCCGTGGACGTCGACTCGAAATTAATGGGGTCGAAATTGTGGCAATGGGCCGGGTGGCCGCGTCGACAGCAGCGGCACGTCTGGCAGGAGGAGAAGGACATGAGGACTGGGTCGCCGACGCGCGCGGTGGTGACCCCGGGTCCGACCTGTCGGACGTATCCCGCGCCTGGAAGGAAAGACAGTCTGTCAGCATCGGGGTTTAAGTATGCCTTGAACAGCGGCAACAGTAGAGGAATGACGGCAAATACCTTCGTGACCCATGACCCGCGGATAATGCACGCCGTGGCCACTTTCCGGCCCGGCGAAATGCAGGTCAGTCTGGCAGATGCCCGAGGCAACGATTTCAATCAGTAGCTCATGCCCGCGGACAGGTCGCAGAGCAACGTTGCGCAGCTTCCAGCCTCCATCCTTGTAAGAACCATAGGAGACCAGAGCTCGCCCGGTGGTAAGTTGGATGTCAACCATGGTAATTATTATTTATTTGTTACGCAGGTCTTGACATGGTCTCAACAGATATATGCTCGTGTCAGCTCATTGCCGACTCAACATCCCGCAAACCGTTGCGCAAATTACGGTGTATCAGCAGGTGGTCGGCATGCCGAACTCAAGACTGAAGCGCTTTGAGACATCCGGATTTCCGAACGCTGGGGTGGGAACAAGCCACCTGGTGATCTTTGCTGTGGATTGATCGCGGGTTTATTGGGACACGGATATAGAGGTTTTATCTTGGGTTAATCAGTCGCGTCCGAGACCCACTCTGCCGAGTCCCTGCGGGAATTACGGCATTTGAAAGATCCCTTCATGTGTGTATACTGGACAGCTTTGCTCTGGGTATAATGTAACAGAGTCTCGACTATCATAACCATACCCCCTATCTTCTTTATATGGAGCATTTGTACGTCAGTATGCGCCGCCACTGCAGGCTACGGCAGGTATGCAACGAGGTTTTGCCCATTACACGCGCACTGTGGTAACAATGAGAAGTCATCTTTGCAGTCACATGCTCAATCAGTTCCAAATAGCTCACAAGACACAGACATACACGTGACAGGCCAAGCGGAGGGCAAAGCTACGGATGCGTGATATATGGACGTCTGAAACATCATATCTCGGGGCTAGGTCTTTCAAAACACGTGATAGCTCTCTTCTCGGCGCCCCAGGCACCAAGGCCCAGAATCAATGGGTTCTCAAGTGTCAAATTACTTATAGTAGTTAGACTTTTTAAGCGCAGAACATCCGGCCTACAGCAGGTCACCCCGGAGGAACTGGAAAGCAGTATCCCTAGGGGCTTGCTTTCGGTTCTTTTTCTTTTCCTCTATGTTCTTTTTGTAGGATTGGAAGAATGCCATCTGGGCTTCCTCAATGCAAAGAGTAGCGATAACCTCCTTTTTAGCCTTCATATATATCGTATCATCCTGAGGTTCTATGACCTCTGTGGGGCCTCTAATCCACTATCTCCAATGGCTGCCCAATCTTCTCCAGTAACTCCACCAACGCCTGCTGATCTTCTTCCACACAATCCACTCCATCACCATCATAGGATGGCTCCTCGTCATCGGTGTCATAGACCGTGGTATGCATATACGGTGTCGGCCCGAACCCGTCGCAGAAGACCATGTAACTGTCATCATGCATCCCAACTGTAATCTCCGTCTCGCGCTCCAAGGGCGTCATGTCATCCTCCCACCACGGTTCCGAGCGCCCGTAGCGGAAATGGCGCAGTTGCGGGAGCCCCGCCTGGAAGGCCTGGAAGTAGTGCTGCCAGCGCTTGTCGTACGTCGCAAAGTGTTTCTCGCGCAGCCCTGGTTTGTGGGTGTATCGGCCAGAGTCTAGAAAGGCCCGATCTTTGTTGTAGACGGAGACCTCGAAGAGGATGGGGGTGTCGTCGAGGTAGAGCTCGGTTAGGGTCTTGCCGTGCGAGAGGATCCATTGGAGCTGGGAGTCGTTGACAAAGGCGTAGTTGCCCAGGGCCAGCGTCTTGAAGCGCAGGAGGTGGACCCCTCGTAGATCCAGCTTGGGATAGAAGCCGAAGTAGTTGCTGGAGTAGATGTGAGGTGTTCGAGGGTCACGGCTGCCGGGGTCAGCCAAGAAGGATGGAAGCTCGGGGAAGAATTTGTGCGGTTCGTCTTGCTAGAACTTAGTTAGGGACTGGGAGACGCGAAAAGCCAAGGAGAATAAAGAATGAGAGCGTCCTACCTCAAGATCGTTTTCGCCGTTGCTTTCGTCGTGTTCATTAGTATTATTCATCCGCAGTGCGCGCAGAGTGCGCAAGATCTGGGTGAGATTCAGGACCACCTTGGGGTCCGTCGGGTTGATGTTCTGGAAGTTACACAGAGACAGCTCTTTCACAGGCTCGTCGAGGGACGCCACCGCCGAGATAAACTCAGTCATTACACAGGAGCGGAACTCGGCATTCCGAAAGGAGTCATTCCAGGTATCTTGGACATAACAGCCCGGATGAAAGCGAAGCACGATGTTCGTAGACGGGGGGGTTCCTTCAGGCGCGGGACGAGCCTCATAAATCTGCGCAACTGGAGGATCACCTTGTTGCGGTTGCTTTGATTGACATAGCTTGCTTGCGTGAAGTACTGTGTCGATGAGTACAGGGTTCAGTGTATATAAGGGAAGGGGAATTTATGCCGGCCCAGGCGCTGACATCCAGATATAACCTGTGCACCAGTCGTGCCCGAGTTCTGTCTTCGAGAATCTCCTGAAATCTTTCTCGGCTTTCTTTCTGGAGATACACGGTGATCACCTTCAGCAGTTCCCTGATCCACACTAGCTTCTTCAGCAAAGGTTTCCACTGGGACTTTGTGTCTTGAAAATGAGTCAATTTGCCTTTGCATCATTCACAAAACTGGAGAGCGACCCTTAGCATGCCGGCCGGATCGTGTTCAGCATCAGACAACCCATCATCAAATCACCACTCCAAGCTATTTGGCAAGAATTTTGGACACTCCATGGCAGAGGACGAAACTGCTTTTAATTCAATTGATCATTCCAAACACCTAAATTACACAGTATATTCTTCAGTCACAAATAATAAGGTCAGACATCAACCGGAACAGCCCCGATCAAACTTTTACGCGCCAAATCCTGCACCTGGTCAGGCTCCATCCCCGCGCGCAGACAAGCGTCATCCAGGGCTTGTCGTAGCACGTGTCGCAACCGCGTCTGCGTTAGATTGAGATCAAGCATGTTATCCAGAGCGACGCATAACAGTCGAACCAGTACATTCATGACAGAAGAAGAGAAAATATCCGTATCATACCCGAGCCGCAGTGATACCCCCTGCTCATCAGCCGTGAAGTG